TACCAAATCACCAACTAAACTAGCAGTTGGCGGATAGCGTCCTTGGCAGCCAGGTAACTGCTTCGTGTGGTGGCGCATATGCTTCCCCTACGTGCTCCTCCTTATCGTAGTCGTCTCTTTCAACGTGCTTTGAAGCATAACATGTAGATCCACTCAAATGATCCGCTTCTTACGATTAGCGACGTGTGAACTCAATGGAAGCATCTTTCCTCGTGGTTTCTCTATTTGAAAAATTGCACGATTCCAAGGATCCCCTTCGGAAGGGGCTACTCAGAGATTACGCACGGTAGAAGGAAGCGTTCAAAAGTTGATTGAAGGTATGTTACATTGATTCCAAGGTGGTAGTGTCGCATAGCGAATGTCGATCCGATATTATTATGCTCTGAAGGGTTGGGAAAAACTGCTCTCGAAGCCATATCCCATAAATACTGATAGATCTCTTTTGTAGAAATCTTTATACGCTGAACGAATGGCATAAGCCATCATTGCATTTAATGTCTGGCAAGTTCAGAAACTCAAAATTTGGATAGCGTATAGCTTTTCAATAAAGCATCGTTTTATGGCGTTCAGTTTTCGCACATAAATAAGGTTTATTCTGCACCTATCTATGAGTCGACCTCAACCAAGTGGGAAGAAAGAAGGGCAGAACTTGGATTCTTCCACGTTCGCGTAAGATCGATGTAGAACGATGCGATCTGGGAACTTATGTTCAAAGTGACTGCGATCTGAAAGGGATAGCGTTTTGATGACGTCATTGGTGAGAATAGTCCCTCAGCGTGCTGGTAGGTCTGGATTAGTAGACCACTTTCCGATATCCCTATGTGTTGACTAGGTGGACCTCGGGTGAGTTGACGGACCTACTAAGCTGGTATCCGGAGCCGCATTTCACTCTACCCTCGCGACTTGCAGTGTTGGCGGGCCACTGCTCTTCGAAGCTGAGTGTTCCATCTCTCCACCTCTCCCCTAGCCTTCCCAACTCAATGCTTTTACGATTTTTTGATGATTTATTTATTTATCTTGCTCATTATATCGGCTACCTGTTACATAACTGTGTTCTGTTTTTTGTTAATATTAATCACCGATAATGAATCATAATCATAATTCCTCCATCAGTTGACGTCGACGACGTCAAAGCGCTCCGCCTCTTACGATTAGCTAGCGCCAATTGCTTTCAAAGCATAATGTTAGCATTGCGATCTGCGATGAAAAAGAACAACTAGAAAAAATTTATCAATTACTCAAAGTCAAGTCGTTGTTTTCAGGTACGATGCAGTGCGTATGATTTACATGAACGGTGACAATCAGGTGACGATGGCGCGTGTACCTGGAATGATAGCACGTAGATGTACATGCTCTTGAGCTATAGCAATAATCGACACTTCTTCACTTGTGCCGTGACTGACACTGCTCCAGACACAGAGTCACGTCAGTAGCATCTCCTTCGAACCGCTGGCAATACGTATATGATCTTATGGTGAATGTGTACCTCTGGGAGGAACGATTCATTTTGCGCGAGTCTCTAAACCAGTCAAATATTGTGACAATGTTGCCGTGTACTACGTAGCAAACGGATCGATATATCGATTGTTTGTTCGATTGGATTCACACCTATAGTAACATCTTCTAAATATGTCACTCTGCACGCTTTCTGCCTTCGGACCTTAACGATTATACCACATATTTATACGAATATTGATTGTGTTGTGATACCCTTTCATTCCTGGCTTAATTATGAATCTCGACGGTTCCTCTGACATTCCTTCGTGCATTGGTCTCTTCATGATCACTCTAAATTCCTTATTTCCGGAGAGAGTAGTGATAACAATAGATGTCAGCTCCTCTGTAGGTGGTGAATGCATCTATGATACTCGCCCTGTGATTCGCTTCACCATGTACTTTTTCTTCATCGATTTTCACCGGCATCACAATTTGCACATAATTTGTTTGTTTTCTCTGAAATAAAAATTGTCATCAGAATTGGGCAATATTTTATTGCATTTCATTTTCAAGCTTTCTCCTGATAATAACCTGTATTCTTTTGCATCACTGCGTTGCTGAAATGGTCGGAATTTACACTTCTTCTCATCCTGTGAAAAGCCAGAGTGGTCCCTTGGAGCTCTCTCCAGACACCAGAAATGCTTCGTAAACTTCGTTCAGGACCCCGCCCAAGATTCCCGCTCAGGGCAGGCTCTAGGTTACACCCGTCGTGTTAGCTGCCGGAAAACCGTTTTCCTTTTAAGAAAGCTCTAAAGAGCAATCCGTTTTCTAAAGCTCCGCCTTGGTTCACGAAAAGACGTAGGAGAATGCCATGCTAGTGCTCTGACGATAGCATAAAAATGAAAATCATCATGGATGTCCAGAGTGCAGCTGCAGCAAAAACTCGGAAGGGACTAGGAATACATCGAAGTATTAGTTTGAAACGAGACATTATGCCATCTGAATGTTTTCGATCGTCGATTTGGACGCGCTCAAAGGAACAGCTTCTGAAAGTGAAAGCATCGGCGCATGCCCAAGTAAGGATTGAGTACTCAACAGAAGGTACCAGTTGGAAAATTCAAAACATTGTTCTACTTTGTGTTTATTGAGTACACCGTGCAATGTCAAGTGCAAGTACAATGTCAGCGTATTCGTTGTAATAACATGACAACACAAAAAACTTCGCCTGCAGAGAAGAGATGTGCATAGCATGCATTTAACACGTTGACGACAACCCGAGTTTTGGCTTTTTTGGCCATGTGGGACCGGGACGATTTTGCAAGCGCGGCTGCCTCAGGCCGTTCAAGCAGAAGGGGAAAATTGCGGGTTTCCGACAGGAGGCTGTCTTGCGGCAAGAAGGCAGAGCCAACGGACGAGTCGCAGCGCGTACTGTAGTGGATTCGCGTTGAGCTAAATAAACTGTAGCATGTACGTTTTACACTGCACATCACACGCTGCGACTGGTCCGCTGACTCTGCCTTCTTGCCGCGCGACGGCCTCCTGTCGGGTAATCTTGCCGACAATCCATCAGAAGTCATAGGGCAACGTGTCATGGTTTTCATAGCGTTGGATGTGACTTTGTCGGGTACCCGAAAATTCTAGATGGAAGAAAGGCGGGCCTCCTGAGGGTGCTGACCGACACGCAGTTGGCAACGAAAGGTTTGACCTCGGCGATCTAGCATGGCTCACTCTTAAGGGTTGGCGGCGTACCCCCGTTGAATATCTAATCAGGCGCCGCAGGTCTATAGACGGCGATTGATCTGATAGCAGAGAGAACGCAGTGTTGAATAGGGCACAGCGATTAGAGTCGAAGCCTAACCATAAGCCATGAACGTAAGCCTAAGAAGAAACCAAGCACCCAAGCCTAAGCCTAAGCTCAAGCCCTAAGCCTAAGCCTAAGTCAAGCCTAAGCCTAAGCTCAAGCCTAAGCCTAAGCTCAAGCCTAAGCCTAAGCTCAAGCCCAAGCTTAAGTTTAACCCTTTCAGCCCTGAATATTTTTTTCATAATGTTCCGTATTGTTTGTTAAAAATGTCAAACTGCCGGCGACTATAGAGCAGGGCAGATACAATGTTCTGTTTGAAACCGCCTACTCAACAAATTCGATTAATCTGCCTTTTTTGAAAAATGAAAACGAATCGAAAACACTCAATACGTCCCTTCCCCTCCTCCCCCCCCCCCATTACATTGAATTGTATGTCAATGCATTTTGAGTTACATGCAAAGTGGTCAGCGTCGACACGCATCCTCGGGGTTCGAACCTTCCGCGTGGACAGGCACTACTTGATACTCTTTCTTCCCATTCACATGTGTGGAAGATACAGTACGTGCACAGTGCGTGTTACACAACAATATCTTGCCACGCGGGCATGTCGAATGAATGACCTTCTCGAGCTATGAAATCGTAGCTCCTTATATGCGGTAGCCAATGTGGGTAAAAAGAATTTGGTCACTTTGTTTCTGTCAGTTGTCTGTGCTGTTCGAGGTGATGGGTATAGGATTTATTAAATTGGCGTACTGATGTGTGGATACATTTCATTACATACATCAACCAACAGATAAGTTCATAGAGGTATTATAACAGCTGGGATGGTTTTCCTCGATACCATAGCATACAAGATGTGACTACATAAACAGAAATCTAACAGATAAAACGATAAAGCATATGCCATTGCTCAATCCCTTTTGGGATGCGGCACGCATCCTACTTCTATTTGTACATTCGTAGTGGCATTTGGATGCAATGTGGCATATACAATGACTTGCGGGGCCAGCCGATGTACAAGTCAGTGTTTTTATCCTCCCAGACAAGTCTGGTACCAATTAACCGACCCCCGAGAGATGGTAGGCTTGGTTGGCCTGGACGAAGCACGACCCAGGATTTGATCCCCGGACCGTTCGCGTGGTAAGCGTGCCACTTGCCACTGCACCACTTCCGCCATAAACTAAATTTATTTTCAGGCTCCCCCTATTTCTGTACCTTCAGCATCGTCGTGTTTCATTATTCCAGAGGCCCTTGGAAAACGAAATTCTGGCTTGTCGGTCACCATGTATACTGAAAACGAAATGCCAACTAAACGCTTGAAAATACAAACACAAACATGGACGCAGTTACGCCTTTAGTGCTTTCTCATTTTCTTCGCAACATCGCTTCCAAGAGACTCATTTAAGCACATGAGAACATGCCTTCCTGAAACACTCAGTGCAGAAATTTTATAACTTATGCGTCACAAGACAATCCTTCTGTGTTGCATCTTTCATGGACTTCGATGGACATTTAGTCACTGTTTCGACAGGCGACGAACTTCCACACATTTTGGGGCCCTTGAATTCGGTGCTCCGAAAATGGTCACCTTGGCGGTTTGAAGCGTTCTCTATACATATTCTAAGTATTCACGAATCACTTTCCATACCACTGTTCTTTTAAGAAAGTTCTAGCGGCGATTTTTATTAAGACCTAAATAAAGATCGAACTTTGGAACAAGGGAACAATAACACAATATATTAGAAATTGATTAGCCAATTGGCTAGCCGTCGCCGTTGGATTTCCATGCATAATTACCACTGCTTTCGTTGCTGAGGTGTAGCACCACCCTGGTCAGCGTTTTGAAGAAAGCGTTCCAGGCCGCTGAAATAAGGGGAATTCTAAAAACCAGGAAGCGATAAACGAAACTCATGAAAAGTCAATTGACTCGCTTGCTGCATGGTAAGATGCATAGACCCGCCCAAGGCAACAAACAACGTCGGAAGATAAGAAACCATACCACTCATAAGTTCAGGGTTCTTTTGATTAAGATTGAGAGCATCCAATCCACTGGCTATTTGATTCGAAGCCGCTTGTCCCAACCTACAAATAATCAAGTACCAAGTGAAAAGAACTATGAAAAACCACAGACGATCTCCTCTTCACTTACCCATCTCTTGGATCTCTCGAATACATGTATGGCAGCGGCTGCACAACAGATGAGGGACCTTGTGCTCCTTTTTGCAGAGCTGCCGCTGGAAACGCTGCAGACTGAACATCGTTAACAGGATGTCGATTTCTGAAATGAAATCCTACAGTGTCACTTACCTCAATTAAATAGAATGACCACTTCAATTTTCACGGCTTCTCTAAACGTTCCAGGTCATGCTTCTAAACCTAGCCGTAGTTCCCTCTGAGGAGCAGGACATTCTCAATCATCATTAATGCACGCTTTCGCGCATTAGTCTGCCGTCCAGTGAAGAGAACGGAAGCTTCGGACAGCATAGTAAAAGAGGATTCAAAAAAATTGTAAGTCTATAACGAATATGTCTCGAGGTGGCGTGACAAGAACTACACATGCATACGGCGATAGAAATAGCTCAAGGGAAGCAGAACAGACTGACATAGGGCCGAAGTGTTTAGGTTCCCTTTTAGAGGCCAAGAAAGGCGATCAACGGTGACCGTGATCAGGAATCAGATGATATACCTTGCAGGTAAACTGCAACAATGAAATTTCAGGAGGGTCCGCTCGACCTCCTAAGGAGTTCGATGGAATAGGAGTGATCCTTTTTGCAAATCGCACCTAATCCTTGTCATGGTCTGAGCAGGGGTTGTTCAGCTTGCTTGCTATGGTGTCTGGTAAAAAAATTGATGAATTCGATGCAGATATCTTGCCGACCGACGCTCCACCAAGCATCTGTTGGCAATGACACTGGCCACTCCGCGGAAGAATGAGAACTTTTCGATAGAGCGGCAACTCCACAAAGAGTAGGAAAACTATTTTGAGCTATTGTCGTGACAGCCCTCACTTCTTCACTTCCCCTTCATGTACATGAACAAATGTCAAATACTAAATGATGTCAAATGTCTCCATCTTAACGTGATGGGACATTTCTCCCCGTTAATAGGGGGAGATGAATTTCCCTCAAAGTACACCCACATGGAGCCCATCCCCTCTCGCTGCCAAGTTCAAAAGAATATCCTGGGAGACCATGTGGGATGCAGTGGAATCGTGTTCAAAGGATTGATAGCCACAATCACGGCGAAAGGGAAACATATCGATTTATGATAGATATTTGTGCAGTCATTTGAAATACAACCCATCTTGAGAGTTACAAAGTTACAAGGTAAAAATCGAGTTGCAATATCAGTTGAACACCCTGTATTGGGTATTTGGCTAAAGGTAGTATGAAAAAGGCATTGTGAAGCAGGGCCTTGTTTTGTCAACAGAAGTTCAATTTTCCGCAGAAAGATAGAACTGCGGGGTGTGTACAACATATGCTCGCACAGAAAAAGGGCTAAGCGAGTATGAAAATAGAAAATGTTTGTCGTGGTTTTGAATGCCTTCGCGCTCTGCGCCACGATACCTTCCTCCCATCTAGAAATACCTAAAGGTACCTTGATTGATCGTGTCCTCCACCAACTGCGCGGCTTGAGCGAGGCGTGCCTTGAACGGCTGATGCTGGTGCTACCCATCCTTCAAACGACGGTCGAGGGTAAACTCCAGCAGGAGGGCTGTAGCCAAACATTTCCTGAACTTTAGATATGAGCTTAACAGTAGGTATACTATTACATGCTTGTGCCACTACAAACACAGAATATGTAACTAAGGCAACAAAATGGGATCAAGTTGATAGGATGACAGCGCTCGATAAGAAAGGTGAGGGTAGAGAGTTGAAAAAAAGCAAAAAAAAACGTCGACGAAGCCCTAACAAGAACCTCCTCCATTCGCCAATAGAATGAGGAGAAGTGTATTCGGACCAGTTTTCGAATGCAGCCACATCAATGCAATGCAGCTACCACACTCATCTATTTGTCGGCCATTCTATCAGCTACGTCGTAATCCACGTAGCGTGTTAGGAGGTGAGCGAAGAATTTCGTCCATTAGCTCAGATTTGCTCGCTCTGTAAGGCTCTTATCGCACTTTTGAGCGGCGACAATGGTAGTTCTGTAAATTGCATGGAGAGCTATAGCCTGCTCACAACTGAATGACTGGTTTTATAAAACCTCATCCAGGCTTGTTGTTTCAGGTATTTTACAGCGAGAGACAAGCAGTCACTTTCGGGGACGTCAGAATTTCCTAATCAAGCGTTCGCTGGCGCTCGCGCTCGCGCTGCGCTGTAAGCGAGTCAAGCGAGCGGGTCTAGCGAATCGCTTGATTCGCAAAGTCTGACATCGGCCTTCATGAGAAAGGCTGAGGGGAAAACGAGACAGAATCCCAAAAAAGCAACCAACCCTCGCAGCAAAGGGGATAAGCCCAATTGGCGCTTCCTCATAACCACCGCCTTTCCCATAACCGTATACAGAGCCAAATTCGTTGACATAGCCAGAGGGAACTTCTGGAGCAGATTGCCCTGCTTGCTGAGGAGTCTCACGTGGAACAGCAAAAGTCACGACGACTGACATTCCGTCAATAACGAAATTATTCGCCCTAAATAAATCACGTGTATTCAGAAAAATTACAATTCGATTAATCTCATCATTTCAAAAGATTTCTTCACTCTAGGAGTTGTGAAAACTTAAATCATGGAGAAGGCCCTAAAGCTTCAGAAGAAAGGGAATACGTACTTGACCATCCTATCAGCGACTTCGGCGTGCGTAAATGTAATGAATGCAAAACCACGGAACGGTCGTGGAATAAGCACATTGGTTACCTAAAAAGCGAAGAGTGCGCAATTTTCCCAATTTTCATAATGGAAGCACTAATTTGAACACCCTTACCGATGCAGATTCGTTGACAAGTTTAGCTTGTTTTTCAAAAAACTCTCGCAGTGTCTCCTCAGTGATTTTCTCTGTGAGCCGTCCCACGAATATCTTATTGGCCAGAATTTTTCTAGGGGCTGCAATGCGATTCCCACTGGAATCGGTGTGCTGAAACAAGAATGTTGGAATCGGAACTTAATTAATACAACAAAACCAAATTACCAACTACCTACAAAGGCACATCTCGAGAACTTAACTTTATCGATTTGCGGTAAGACGTTATGAATGAAAGCGTAGTAGCGCCTCTTATCGTTCGCCAATTTCGCTGCATGACTATGATGAAGGATCACACAGCAAAAACATCTGTAGCGCGACCATGCGACATCTGTATGCGCGACTGGGATAATATATTCGTATAGGCGTGCGCAGCACTGCTAGATCAGGGGCCGTAAAGTATGCTTCCCCGAATGGTTGCGGGGACGAGAGTCCCTTTAAATTTTTTGTTTTGAACGATACTGTTTCTTTATTCTCAATGCATGCTTACTTTAAGCTACACACATATATTAGATGTAGGCCCTTTATCAGGACAATCCCAGTTGGGACTACAGAGAAAATTTAAAGAAGCTTTCGTCCCCTCACCCTTCGGGGAAGCATACCTTACGGCCCTAGGATCGCCAGTAGATTTCATAGGCGGCTGCGGTTTGAATTATCTTCCCGCGCGCGCAGCTTTGAAATCTCTGCGCTGCGCCGGCCTGTGGATCTGTAGATACAGTGCGATCAATGAGGGGGCTATATAAGAATGATTGATCAAGTACTCGGGAGTGGCAGTCAGCTGTGGTATTACCTACTTGGAACCAAGCCTTGGGGAAGGGAAGAAATGTGAGGGAGGTTGTGAGTACTTTGTTTTCCTGGATTTTGTCCACTCTCCTAGGCTTAGTGCTGGCGTAACTTACCAGCGGTTTTCAAATATTTTGTCTAAGATGCGCATCTCGCCACCAAGGCTGAGTATAATCCGCATCTGTGAAATGTAGTATCACAAAGTACAAGTTGTTATAGATTACGTTGTTTCCTGAGGGCTTTCACCTCACCGACGGATACTGTAGCTAGCACGGATCTATGTGACTGAATTGTTCAGGGAGTGAATAGCTCTTAAGTTAGCATTTATGCATGTATGCACAAGCACTCTGTACAGCATATCACTACGTTATGTTAGCAATCTGAACCCACAGAAAAAGCTCCCTCTGATTTTGTTTTCTCTGAGTAACTACAATTCCAACAATAAAACTAAATGCTCCGCTATGATGATTCCAAAAGGTTCTTTATCACATTATTGGTCTCTACACTGGAACCATGACAATTAACTTCACAGGTGAAAATGATTAAAGGCACAACCCAGGCAGCGGACGTATGAACGCTTCCCTTTGGTCTATGGCACAGACCCCTAGAGGACAATCACAAATGTGGCGTTCCCGTGCGCGGAAACCAACCGACAAAAGCGCGCGAGCCTTGCAAATCAAGCTGTTGAAGCTGCAAACTTTTTTCTCTCTTATCAAGCTGTTGTCTGGCGCTCTCTCATCTGTAACGCTCTCTCGCCTCACACTCTCCTCTCCACGCCTAGTCTCTCATTCCCTTAGCACAGCCGATTAGGAACGTGAGTGAGCCCCTAACCTGAGCGTTTTCGAAGGATTCTTCTCCTTTTTCTTTACTCTCGGCCCATTTCGCACCAGTACATTCGGATTCGTGTGCAAGGATCTCACCAATGTGATCTGGGGCATGCCTTTAAGATTCACAAGTGTTGGGTTTATACCCCTCGAGTAAAACTCATACAGTCCAAGTCCCCACTGAGGCGAGACCCATATAAGTGTGGCGGAACGAAATTATATGGAGACCCCTTAAGAAAGTCGGAAAAACTCTTCAAATCAGCCGAAGTGACGCTGACCCTGACTCTGACTCCAACACAAATCGATTTCTCAGGTTACGCCTTCTCATCGATGTCGATCACCTCGGTGCCAACTTTCAGTTGCCAGAGAAGGATCGCTTTCCATCTACGAATGTTCTAGTTCACACACAAAATTTCCAGAAACCAGCACCTAGCCCGCGAACGGAAACTGAAGATCTTGATCAGAGACTTTGATGTTAGTTTCTTAAGAACCGCTAGACAATGCATTGAGTTATGATCGGTACTGAAGAGGACGTTTCAAACGTGAAGGTTTCGCGCACTTGTCTCCGGTAGCAGTGTGTTGAATTAACGAAAGTTGCCACAAATGTAGTTAGGTTGCCACATTTTGTGCACTCCCATGTGCACGTCCCTTGTCTATTTCTTTTAATTTGCTGTGTATACTGTCGCTGACAACCCTTTCCAAGCTCTTACCATCTTGAACTCTCCTCGACAGTAGTGAATCTCTGTACTGTAGTAGCTGCAACCCTAGGGCTCCCCCTGTATTCAGAAATCCGCACGCAGGAAAGTAATTCAAACCGCAGGTACAACTTGACGGTGCCGCGCACACCCATGCAAATGTGCTGCTCAAGTCACGCTGCAGATGTTTTCACTGAGGGTCCTCTGCTGCACTTCCATGAGGGCGCATTCATAGTCGGTCTTCCGATCGTAACAAGCGCATAAGCCGCGGTCGCACAGGGGAGGTGATAAGGTGACCCAATGCAAACCCGAACAACACGTGACAGCGCGCCATGGTGTTTCGGATGTCCGATTGTTCGACGTGGAGTAATAGATGCGTATCGATCGTACGACACATGCGATCGTAACGATCGTCACCATTGGACGACCAACTATGCATGCGCCCTGACGAAAATGAAGTGCAAGGGGCGCGAAGTAATTTTCTATGATATTTCACTCATCCCAATTACGAGCTCCCTACAAAGCGACTTTGAAATTTTCTTGAAACTGAGTTACTCACTTTCTGGTCAGGAATGCGAATTTCGCAACGTCTGCCGTCGATCATATGCTCGGCAGTCGCCATTACTTTGTCCTCCTCTTCCAATGTACTCATTTGTACAAAACCAAATCCCTTAGATGAGCCATCTGTACTTCTTTTGATCTGAACAAAACATGGAGTACATTCCTGGCTTCGGCAGACTTCCTTGCAGTTATGTGTGGCCGGCAATGTTTTACCGCCTATTCCAACGCTTCTCTGTTTACGTACTTATTTTTCCACCCACAAACATAGAAATATGCATGCAGTAACCCAAAATCCTACTTTCAGCCTGCTAGTTCCACACAAGAATGAGCTTTGAGGCTAACTAATGCATCCCAATTTCAGAAACCAGAGGTCTAGCCGCGAATTATCCAAAAGGGCGTGAGAGAGTGACAGCGCAGGTGATGATGAATATTTACACCCCAACTTCAAACACTAGCCATCCGCAATATCAACGACCCCACACCCAGAATTGACCGTAAAACCACTTCCTAAATATTCCGATATTCATGAAACTAGCAAAAAAAGGCTAGTTGACGTTCCATGGTTCACTCCCTGATCCTAGTGCCCAAAAGGGAAGATAAACTCGGGAAATGAAAAATAAGACCTAAAGGTCGTTAATGAGATGCAATCTGGATGTACCCAGCTAATGGTACCGTTTATGATAACGCGCAGAACTCCACTCGACATATCAAACATGCCCACATAACGTTCACGCAAACCACGTCAAACATCATTTTGCACCTTATTCTCGTATCGTGAAAATCATTCAGAACCGAAAGCACGCAAACACAGATACAAATCACAAAACACACAGAGAACTCACAATCATAATTCTCACGCACCTCTGCAAATGAGACGGTACCGAATGCTTCAAAGTACTTCTTGAAATCTTCGTCTGTAGTCTTGTAATTCACGCCGAGCACGATGAGATCAACAGGACGGCGCGGCATCGCTGGCTGCTTCACCGAATCCCGAGCGTCGGCAGCACGTTTACGGCCAACTCGGCCTTCACCGTCACTGTCCGAATCTCCATCACTGTTGCCAATCTTGCGACGTTTCACACTCACATCCGAACCTAGACACACCTTTCTCGCCTCGCGCATCACATTCATGTAACAAAATAACACCAAAGAAAATTCACCACTCAACACTTTCTCATTCATCAAGACAATACATTTGAAAGTAATTCAGTAATCAACAGTCATCAACGTCATCAGCTGTACAAGCTTGTCACTCCACTAGGAGTTCCACGGACCCAACCCTATGGCAAAACGTTAGGTCCCACTATCATTCCGCTAGGGCGAGGAAAAATACAATGAGGGATGTGCGTAAGCAGGAACAAAAGAGTGAAGGAAACGAAAAGACAACACTAGAGAGAACAAATGAACTGTGAACACTTTCGTTACCCCTTTCAATGAGGAAACTGCACCCTATAAGGAGCAGCATGCAGTGGAAGCAGTGGTCCTCCATATTTTGCAAACCGCTTACTTGGCGTGTCAATTTGAATACACACTGCTCCGCATAATTATACAGCCTCCTATGGATTCTGCAAAAGCTCTCCTCACATGCGTATTCGAAGAAGCCTTTATGTGGAAATGGTTGTAGGTATAAATGCTGTTTTGTACACCTGCACAGAGTTCCAGCATTGAAATTTGCGGTAAGCTTTTCAGCAATTTTTCGTAAAAGCTGCTCTTATCTATTCCGCATAATTATACAGCCACCCTATATTTTCTTGTTGCTTTTCTTTTTGGCTTAATTCAACTTTTTTGCTGTTATCCATACTTCCTCTTTTGGTAAAAACAATACGGAAACCGCCATCATAACTAAATAAATGCAAATGGTAAAAAAACGCAAAAGAGTTGAGATGCAGTCGCACTGCCGAATTTCGGACCAAGTCTGCTTTAGATAAACAATTCCTTCGAGCATTATGCAGTATGAAGTAAAACTAAACCTTGGAGATCTTTCTTTGCTTACGGATTTAGATGAACGCCGCCTCATAAGAAAATCAAACAGTTCCACCGAGTTGTGCTCGGAAATCAAACCTTAATTGAAAGTTAATTCTCCAACAGGTGTCTGTTCGACGTCTCTGGCAGAACTGCAAGTTCGTCCACGGGTGAGAAATGTAAAGCTTATTGTTCATGACAGGAAAACATCGCAAAAACCGAGACAGTTCTCTCAAGATACGAAGCTGAGCTGAAAAAAAAACCGAAGTGAGGTCCGTTTTTGCCTGTCATTTTCTACGCCTTGGACCTTCTCGAAGCATTCTCTTACTATTGATAACTTCTTCTTATGGAAAAGCGTATTCAGGAGCTAAAGAACTTCGGAAGAAAAGCTGGTAAATCGTGAGAAACGACAGGTAAAAAACCAACCTCATTCCAGTCAGCTCGGTTCACTTCTCGACAGAACTGTATCAGTTTTTGAGATGTTTGTTGTCATTTACGATGCGCTCTACATTTACATCACTCGTGAATAAACTTGCAGTTCTGCCGCAGACGTCGAACAGACGCCATTTGGAGAACTGAGTTCCGAATAAGGTTTGATTTCCGAGCACAACTTGATGGAACTGTTTGATTTTCCTATGAAGCGTCCTCTATCAGAACCCGAAAGCAAAGAAAGATCTCCGAGGTTCAATTCGACTCCATATCCTGCACAATGCTCGAAGAAATTGTTTACTCTAAAATACTCTAAAACTTAGCCCGAAAGTCGGGCAGTGTGGCTGTCTAACAAATTTCTCACGATATTTGTTACCATTTGCCTTTATTTAAATTATGATGACGGTTTCCGTATTGTTTTAACCTAAAGATGAAGTGTGGTTATAACAAAAAAGTTGAATTAAGCAGATAAGAAAAGCAACAAGAAAGTGTGGCGTGGCTGTATAATTGTGTGGAACAGCTCAGAGCGGCTCTTCCAAATTGCAGAAAAAATTTCCTTCAAAATTAAAAGCTCGAACTCTGTGCTGGTGTGCAAGATAGCATTTATACCTACAACCTTCTCCATATAGAGAATTCTTCGAATAAACTTTAGGAGAAGAGTTTTTGCACAATCTAAATGTGGCTGTATAGTTATGCGGAGTAGTGTATGTCTGTATACTTGATATCGGATAGTTGGGGTAAGCGTGTCACCGGAAGTGACGTGCACTTAGCAGATCTATGTGGATAGGCTGCTTCCAACATACATCGCTGGATATCAGCAAAACATGCTGGCAACAGCTTATCCACGCAACTTCTATCAAGGGCACATCACTTCCGGTAACACGCTTACCCCAATTTTCGGATATCGATGTATGTTAATGTATGTCCGTCCGTCCGCAAGTGAAGTGCTAAGAAGCTCAAGGGATTTACAAGCCAACAGAAACGAGGAGCTTGCAGGCCCTGCAACATCAATGTTTTGCACAGCGTGGTTGTGGTAACCCAAAAAGGCTATATTAACACCTACTGAACACTCTCGGTCATTTCATATGGTGCTGCACTGGCAGCTAAGAGGCAATGAGGAAGGAGTGGAGAGGAAGGAGGGAAGTCACGGTGCTTGTCGGGGATCGATCTGGTGGTGGTATATTTATAGTATGTACGTCCAATAGTTCGGCGTCATTCTTACATCCATGCTATGGGCCTTGAGTACCATTTAGTGACAATATCGCTCACAATAGTGCTGTTAGCACAGTCACAAAGCAGCACACTAAGAGAATGTGGTGCGAGCTCCACCACCTAAGAGCCGTTAACACCGGCCATTTTGAGATTACATGACCTTCCCACAAGACAAACGGAAACCTCTGTTTAAATAATATTTTAAAGCTCCTAGAGCGAGGACGCCGAAAGCTAAAGAATTTGCCTCGATCAATCCAATGACTGAAATGGAATCAAAATAATGACTAATGGGAAAGTTATCACAAGATTGTTAAGTAATGGGCAGAACTCTTTACCCTGATCGGGATACGAACTTCATCAGATATGATAGAGAGCTGAGTTGAAGTAAAATGGCGCCCCGGTAGTGCAATGGAACGCTAATTTTAAAAAGGGTAATTTTAAGAAGGGTACAAACGTAAAAATACTAGGCAGTCATATTAATACGTAAAAGCCGAAACCCAATTAAAACGGACAAACTTCAAATACGGAAATTGCGCGATCTCAACGATCGCTGTGTGAGCGAGTTATACCATAGCCTAAATTGGCGATTCTCTAATGCATTAATTCTCTAACGAGGCTTGCGCAACTGCGCGGCTGGTAATCTCTAAATACACACGGTGCTATACAAGTGAGCCGCATTTTTCGAACAGAAATGTATGTAAGTGAGACTGCTGCCCGCTAGCTTGATGTCACGAGAATCGGGGAATCCGGGAGCTAGGAGGAGTGTGGCCAATCTAGGGGGTGGCGGTTAGGGCAGTCACTTGACGTACGTGAAAAGCTGGACGCACCCCACTTGTATAGAGCCTACACTATACAGTGGAGATAAGACTGCCGTCACACTCGGCGACGGACAAGCGATGGAGCGAGTGAGCTTGTACGTCGCTTGCCAATCGCTTGGCCGAGAGCGATGGGCAAGCGATTGCGCAATCACGTGCCAATCGCTCTCGGCAGAGCGATTGCAACGCGATGAACCATCGCTTATCCGTCGCCAAGTGTGACGGCGGTCTATTGCAGACCAGCTCGAACTGCTGCGTTGATCTAGCACTGTTTCTGAAAGCCGTAAAGGGTAAAAGTCGTCGAACCTCGCTCTGGTCGCGTGTTTGCGGTGATCACCATGAATACCTTGTCATCCCAGCCATCCAGAGGTGGTAGAAGTTTTGTTCCCGTGGCGTCGACTCTAAAATTGTGAATCTTGACATAATTGAGCCAGCCGCAGTAGTTTAAGATAGCGATAATCGAACTTACGCGACTGCTCTCAGAGCGCCAGTTTTTGGGTTTTTATATTTCATGCCGGTTGCACCGGGAAATGAAGCTTGAAGTGTATTCATGAATAGAGTATTATCCGGTGCGGTTGGAAGTTCGAGCGGGTCACCTAACACGATGAATTTGTTTGTTTGTTCGATCTTCGTTAACAATCCTATCCACTAATCTTGGCCCAGATAATTTTACACAAGCTTATAAATCCGTATATTACCATTATTCTCCGATACAACGACAAATTCCGAGGGTTGCACACCGTTCCCGTCATATAACTGCTCGATTTTGACGTCCATAATTCGAATATCAGGACTACGAGCCCTTTTTTCTCCAGCAGCAACGGTTACGTCACTCATACCTAGAATAACTGCTTTTAGTACACCAAATACCAAACCACGTATCAATCAAACAGCAATAGCACGATGTGTAAGGTAAGACTGCGCCCATACCCGGCATTCTAGAAATGAGAATAAGAGTGAATCGATTGCCACGTCGATAGAAGCATACTTCATATGATAAGATGCGGACTTGATACAAGATATTGATCGATAGGCCCTCTTTCAAGTGCGCGGGTTCTAATACTCTTCCAAAACAATAGTATGAAGCTTTCAGAGGAACATTTCACAAAGACAATATAAGAAAATGCAATTTTAAGTAATGCATAGGATCAGCTGCAACGAACGCTATTTGCAAAATTAACTAGATGTACACTGGGGAACGACTAAATTCTCTCTCGTTCAGTTCTCTTCGGCACTACAAGTAGAGAACGAACACTCCTAAGCTCAAAACTAATCGGGGTTTTCTGTTCGATATTGGAAACTAGGTGCGCAGTCGGCAATGACCTCATGAATGCTTTGAAAAGCAATGGGAGTAAGCCTTGAAGCGGGGAGGGGATCCAAAGTACATAAGCAATGTTCATTTTCCCAAAGTCCTCTCAACCTGGTCCTAGATCAAAAGAGGAAAGGCAAGGCGAATCTGCAGACAAAAAAAAAGAAGAGATAAGCTTTACTTATCGAAGCGCCCACCAACCAATTACAACAATCAATTACAAAACCACTCCACTGCACTGCGTCCCCCTCAGCAGGTTCATCCTCGCATTGGGAATTAGGGATCAGCACGATCCATACTCCTAACGGGCGTTGTGGGGAGAGACCCCGCTTTTAATGAGATAGTCTAAGTGCCAAACGTGTGTAGATCCTTCCCTGTAAGCATGGCTGTCGCACTGGCTCATAATGACGGTATCAAATACTATACTAGTGGAAATGCGACGTTTGATTGGGACATAAACAGTCCTACACAGCATCACTGTGTGTATGTGACTGTCTCTTCTTACTCTTTAGCGTTTGTCCCACCATGTGGCGGGGTCCGCTTTCCTGGTACATATTACGACGCCACTTTTCCCGATTATGTGCCTGGTCGGTGTGAAGGCCAACTAACTTCAAATCCTCATGCAACGTCTCAAGCCATCGTTGCTTCGGGCGTCCCCTTGGCCGCTTTCCTGGCACGTTAAAGTCTAGACCGATCTTACGGACACTCTCATCATTAGCGCGAAGGACGTGACCGCACCACCTCAGGCGAGCTTCGCGCATCTTATCAGCGATGGGAGCCACACGAACCGCTTTCTGATGGCATCGTCGCGAATGTGGTCTAAGCGGGTAACCCCGGCAGTCCAGCGCAGCATTTTTGTCTCCATTACACCGAGACGAGCCTCAACCTCTTTAGTCACGGGCCAGCACTCTGCTCCGTAAATGGCGACTGGTCGGACGACGGTTCTATAGATCTTATATTTCAGTCGCTCTGGTATTTTCTTATCGCAGAGAACGCCGGTCATCGAGCGCCACTTGGACCAAGCTGGCTCACCCGGGAGTTCATTCAGAGATCAGGCTGCCGTCGGACGCGATTGCCGACCCAAGATTCTCGAACGATGTTGTACGTGTGAGCTCAATGCCACTGATCTTAATTGTGCCTGACTCACTCAAATCGGTGGTCATGTACTCTGTCTTCTTCACATTCAACCTGAGCCCAAACACGGTCGGACCAGGTTTGCACCTGTTGCCCGAGCAGATGTTTGTCATCACATGCGGTATCACGCCATCGGCATAAAGAAGCGTCCATGGAGCGGGCTTCTAGAAATCACGCGGAATGGCATCCATAACGACAATAAATAGGAGTGGGGAAAGCGCGGAGCCCTGGTACACACCGACCGAGATGGGAATTCCATCGAAGTACCTGCCACCGTTTGCATCCGACTCCTTGAGTTCGAGTAAAGTATGCGCCCCCACTCAATGAGCACTTCAGGAACGTCGTGCTGTCGTAAAGCATACCATATGACTACTCGAGGAACACGATCAAAAGCCTTCTCCAGGTCCAGGAAGGCAAGATGACAGCTTTTCTTTTCTCACGATGTCTTTCCAACAGAAGGCGGGCGGCATGTATTGCATCGATGGTGCCGCAGCCTGACACAAAGCCACACTGGTTGATGGAAAGCTGCACGATGTCACGAATACAGCCGTCCAAAATTCGCTCAAAGATCTTCATGCTGTGCGAGAGCAGGCGGATTGGACGTAGCTCGTGCAGTTAGCAGGGCTGCCTTTCCTCTTCCAAATCGGGAATTGCTCTGCTGCCAACTCTCAGGCACCTCTCTCTGCTACGATCTGGTTGAAAAACTGTCAACCATTCAGCAGGATACCAGCATTTTGACTTCCATATGTCGGCCGCCAAATCATCGGGACCTTTAGCCTTTCCTGACTTTATCTTCTTCAGAGCCCTTTCCGTTTCCTCCACGGTTATTTTCTGCACAGGACCTTGCATTGGAACATAAGGGACCGCTGGATGGGCAAATTCTACGACTGAGATGTTCTCGAAGTAATCATGCCATCGCTTCAGTGCTTTCTTGCGGTCCGTCAGGAGGTTACCATTTTCGTCGTTGATGCCGAAAAACTTCTCGATGTCTTCGGACTGGGGATGGCTATGGCAAGACAATAAACATAGCGTTCACCATCGCGCTTCTCGAGCTTCTCGCTAACATCGGCAAAGTGGGCACTTTTGCAGCAGCAACGGCCTTCTTTATCGCATTCTTAGCTGCCTCACAACTCCGTCAGGTCGACAGTCTTATCGCCAAGAAGTACGTGGTATAGCCTCTTCTTCTCACGTACTTTTTCTTTAACATCGTCCGTCCATAGCCACGCTTGCTTGTCGATCTTCCGTCGCGCAGGTTTTGTTGTGCCGAGTTCGGAACGCGTAGAACGGATTATCGCCTTGGCAGCACTTTTCCAAGTTTCATCAACATTAGTGACTGCCGGCAAATGAATGTTGGATATCACGACCGCCTCCTTCTCTTTCAAACGCCACCACTTGATACTCGCTGGTCCACACCGCTCGATTTGTTACAATTTCGGAAGAGCGATCTTCAGCGTGCAAACCATCGGTCGATGCTGCATGGTGACAGTCTCACACGGCACCGCCTTTGCGTCTGTAACGAGCCCTCGATCGCGTTGCCTGACGAGGACGTAGTCGATTTGCGTTCTGGTAGTACCGCTATAGAAGGTGATGAGGTGGGAATCACGTTTCCGGAAATTCGTGTTCACGATGCGTGAGATCATGCGAATCTGCGTAGTCAAGAATTCGTTCGCCATCGTTGTTACGTGACCCATATCCAAATTCACCATGACAGCTGTACCCGTCTTTCGCAGGGCCGACGTGACCGTTAAGGTCACCTGCGACAATGACAGCCTCTTCTGACGGTACATCTGCGGTCTTTTCGTCCGGCAAGGTCCAGAATCCGTCCTTGGCTCGCTCAGGGCAGCCAGTCCGCGGAGCATATGCAGAAAAGAAGTGGTATCGCTTACGTTAGAAGACGACAACAATCTTCATTAGACGGTCGTCATAACCATCAACGCTTACGATCGAGTCACGGAAGCGGTCAGAAACAACTACTCGGACCCCCCTGGTCGTTCTAGGACCGCCACAGAGAAAGCCTCGCCCAATATCTCTCGATCCGCAGCAGAACCACCTCGTTTCCTGCACGGCACAGAAATCAATCCGTCGGCGCTCTAGACCTGCTAACTCGTACGAGCGGCCCGTCAACGTGCCAAGATTTAACGTCGCAACGCGAATCTTCCGTGCGTTGCAGGACTTGTGAACTAGCTTAGTTGCCCCCCGACGCCGTACTTGCGTCGGAGACCCTCGCATACTTTTCACACTCGCCGGGCTTTGCGAGTGTGCGTCGGCTCCCGCGGACGCAGTAGCTTTATCTCGGAAATCACATGACGTCATTAACCATGAAGATGTGACGTGGATATTCGTACGCCAGCCTGTCACGGGGGCCTGTCGCCTGCATTCGAATGTCCGCCATCAGCTCAGCCCATAAATGTGAGCAGATCCCAGTGGCACCACTTGGAGGAGCGGACCCCACCACCGTGTATGTGACTGTCTCCATTCCCAGTAATAGACTTAGTTGTGTATTCCACTCGAGTTCTTATTGACATACGCCATACTTATTAACATTTGTCCGCATTCCTAAGTTTTATAAGCAACCCAACGAAGCAACAGCAACCCAGTTGTACTCGTCGTGACCTCAGGTGAAATGTGTGCTGCATACCTTGGATGGCTGTCACACTCGGCGACGGACAAGCGATTGCGCAATCGCGTGCCGATCGCTCTTGGCAGAGCGATTGCAACACGATAGGCAACGATGGAGCGATCGCGACGGCTCCATACACTAATCCAAATAGGACCTTCATAATCTTTGATTTTGGACGGAATTTACGGCTTGGAAAGCTGTAATCCTACCAAACATTCAACTGGTGGAAATCTCCCAATGCACACTTCGGAACAGCTATCAATAAATTTATGATACTATTCAACTACTACGACCAAAAAAAACTCAAAATTTTAGTTTTTTTTTCACTGAAACTCTGCCCATAGGGATAATTCGATGCACTGAGTACGAAAATGACATTCGTTCTTTAACGGTGGCGCCATCTTGTCACAACAACTGCGTCTCTGTGTATGGGTCATATGGATTCTAATTACTAATATGACGTTTGTTATGGACGAAAGCTATTTGGCGCCTACTTTCCGCTCGTCGGTGCCCTCTCACTGATGAGATCGCGACTAAGTCGGTTGTACGACCTAACCCTTTTGTGTGGTGCGAACCATGTATAAAGTAAGAATGCGTGAGCCAGGGGGAGTGAGGCAATTCACTAGGATAGGGCGCAGTTAGTCGTCCGATAGCAACGATCGTATGTGTCGCACGAAGGGTGTGGGTACTTAAGACAGAATGCGACTTTTTCGCTCATCGCAACGCGACATCGCGCGGGGCAGGCTAGCGCTCCAGCAGCGAAATACGGTATGG